CGTTGTTGTTCTTCGATCGCGTGTTTCATTGATTCCGGTGTACGTTTAAACATCCTCGATTCCACAGAAATGTGTGATTCTGATTTTTCATTTTTTTGCGGCCTCGCATTACGTGGTTTATAAATGAGCGCGTAGAACAGACAGATATGCAACGTCACTTACGAATTTAATGACAAACTCTTGGTATTTATCGTGAAACGAATCCTCCTCCATCGATCGTTTCGTTAAGCGTTTTCCATTACACGTACAACATTAAAGAAACAAAAACAGAAAGGAAACAGTAACACACAAAGAATAATCTCTAAAACGCTAGACTCGAAGATTCAAGGTTACACAAGCTCACTTATCCTTTACGGATATCTTGCTGGAAATATAAAGTATTATCCGAAAGTTCTAATCCTTGTATTATCTTAACGCGCTACATCGTCCATCTGAGAACGAAAAAGAGGAAAAAAAAGACACATGTGTACCGGATTAAAAAATTCCTTTGTCCTCGTTAAATCCAACGGAATAATCATCTAATTTAAGAGCAAGTGATTGGGAAGGCGGGGGTAAGATAATCGACCTTAGACGGACTAGTATAATTAGTAATTTGTAATTTCGAAACAGGCTATCGTCTGTTACTGCTAACCAGTATAAACGATTAAAAATCATGTTGTTCGGTCGGAGGGTCGCGAAATGAAATCCTCCTCGACGATGATCGAAATTGTGATTCACCCGTGAATTCATCGAATTCGTTTTCATGATGGCTCGCACACCTCGTTAGTCTTTTAAGTGTCGTGAGTGTTCATTCCAATCGACGCGATCGTTGTTACTTCCTACCCTAATATGTTACAAATGTAATTCGTTCATTCCGTTATACCGAGTTTGCAATGAAAAGGTATAATTAAGTTAATAATAAGTGCGTAAAATCAATCGAATGTATTTCCCTCTTCATCTTCTTCTATCTTGTGTTCTGTTCTCCGATAGAACAATTTCGCACGATCAAATTGTCTACGGCTGGTTCGACCAATCACGAACGCTTCCGTTTACGCGGCTACGTTTTCTTCAACTCCGATTGTAGTTTATTGTTTCCATTAACCCTTAAACCGTGGAATGTGAATCGCCATAACGACTTGAAGCGCAATGGAAACTCGTGCCAGTGATTTGTGTCCGCGATTCTAGAAACTTTTAATGAAACCGCTCTCTGGAAAATATGAGGAACGACTTCTGGTAAACATTTCCGATATGAACGTCGGTTATTTAGAACTCAACCTTTCAGTGCTATTCACAGTGGTTGAAGTTTCAATAACCGTAATTTTTTCAAAAAATAAACTGGCATTCGTAAAGAATTCATTAATCATCCAGGATGGTTGACTATTTAAAACAGTTCGATGAAAATTCGATTCAGTTTTCTAAAGATTCGTTGAAAATATTGAAGCATTCCTTTTATCTGAAACGTTAAGTGGCCAATGCACTTTACGGTTTATCGTACGACGAGTTGCATAATTTTCTAAGGTCCGAGGTATAATACAGCTCGATCATAAAATCTTTGAAACAATTTTATCTAGGATTTTAGCTTTGAAACATAAATATTAAACCGGGCGAAACTTAAGAGATCCTATCATTTGAAAAATGTATGTTCTCGAAATACTCGTATCGTTCTGATCAATTCCGTACGAATGAATATATATAATTTCGTACTATATATATATATATATATAATATATATAAGTCATTAATTCTGAAGCAATTAAAATTACAATATTTCTAATAGATGAAACGTTCTGGAAAACTTCAAACGAACACAAGCTACAGTGAAATCACTAATGCCTTCGATATTTTTGCTACTACACATATACATAGCCAACTCGTCGTATAATAAATTCTGCTTTATGGACGAATTCCTTTTAATTCTGTTCTCATAGCGAAAAGTTGAACCCGTTAACCGAGCAATCATCAGCACCTACATTGAGGGACGAAAGTATTTGTAGGCCATAAATAAATACTTTACATTCATGAATATTCTACAACATTCAACTAATAGTCTACACAAATGAAGATGATATTTATATATATAGAAATTCGTTTACGTGTTTATTGTAATAATATCTCTCAAAATTTCCTCACTGTACAAATACTTTCGTTCACCATTGTACATAACCTTGAGTCTAAATAAAAATCACTTTATCCGTGTTATTCTAACATAAGAGTCTAGATTTCCCTAGTAAACAGTTAAAAGAAAAAATATCCAAGATACATAAAAGAATACGAAGGACGAGTCAAGTCGTCGTCCCCGGTCAATGGGTTAACAATTCACGTTCCAATCGATTTAAGGGTGAATGAATAACCCGCGCCAACACACGGCGAGAGCGATGCGACGCGGCGGCGAGTAACGGTAAAACTTAAAGAAGAGAAAAATAATGATAATAAGAAAAGAAAAGAGAAACAGGGTGAAAATGCAACGACAAAGTGTTGTGCTTGTCGCGTCGGTCGCTTCCTGTCGGCCATGTTGGAATCGTCGAAAAAGGCCGGTGTGGGGCAAAATGAAGAGTTTCCACTACTTAACGCTACGCGTGTATGTGCAATCCAGTGTATGTCTTAAAAATACTCGAATACGTTCTACTTGTCGATAAAAGGCAAGAGAATTGTTCCGCTCGTGTTCGACTATAGTATGACGCGTCTCATAATCTATTCGGAAATTTACCGGTGCTCTGTGTCTCGATGGATTGACTTTCCGTAGGTTAAACTGTGTAAACCAATAAGATCAAGGGACGATATTTAATTCTCGTGATCTACGGCTTCCTTTCTCTCTCTCTCTCTCTCTCTCTCTCTCTCTCTTTCGTTTTCTTTCTCTCTCACTTTCTCACTCTCTCACTCTCTCCC